ACTACTACTACTGCTACTACTGCTGCTACGACTACTACTACTACTACTACTGCTACTACTACTACTACTACTACTACTCCTACTGCTACTGCTACTGCTGCTACTACTACTACTACTACTACTTTTTGCTTTGCATGCACAACCGCTCACGAGCGACCTATGTGTGAAGCCGGCGATGCTGTTGCATCGGCTCCTCTGGGGAGCGCCCAAGGCCCGAAAAGAATGTAGATCAAACGGACAAACACGTCAAATATCAAAAACATGCCCTGATCTCTTAGAGATCAGTCAAACAAATTCCCGGAATGCAGTGGGCAGCTCATAAGTGTATAAAAAGGATGCCGTGCCGTCAGCACCAAGCACATCCTGCATCATGGGCGAGCCGTCAGCTCCCAGCCCCATGATTTGACTTTATGTCTACGGGATCCTTTGTACGGGAGATCACGAACAGTACTGTACATCTGACTCGTAAGCAGGCCGTTTTCAGAATCACACGTTGACCATCGCCCATCACCGGTTATCATCTTGCAGCCTCCGCCAGACAGGGTAGACACCAGTCGAATAGATGTCGCACACCCGTGAGGAGCAAACTGGCCTCTGCGCATTGATCCATGACCTTAGTGAGTCATCAAACATACGAAAGAGCATTGTGAGGTCCATTCAAGTGGGCATTGCTTCTCGTATGCTCCTCTGGAGAAATTTTTTGACCGGTGCTGCTTGCCATATTGTCCCCAGGCATACACCCCGAAGTTGTAAATCTAGCCACATCAATCCAGGTTGGCGTCAGGCTTAAAACCCAATGTGCAGAGTATCTCCCCATCCTTGGGTGCCAGTTTGTTAACATGTCTGACGTGGTAGCCGATGAGCACGAGCCGATCCCCACCCCAAGGTGCTGTGGTGTGTTGTCGTCGCGGGTCGAATCGAACAGGAGTACGAGTATCCCACATTGTGCCTGGCTCACCATCTGGAGAAAGAAAGGTTCTCCCTTCCTCACCTTGTATCCATAGCTCGCCCCCCGTGAATGTAGAGCAGGGTACGACCAAATTTTGACTGTTCACTGCATTGAAGCTGTCGCGATGTGGTTTCGCGCATATGTTTCTGGCCAGTGTGCACGAGCTGAAACAAAAGGAGGCATCCACGCTCAACAAGATATGAGCCAGCAACCGACTCACATGAGGAAATTGCTTTACGTTCCTTGCTAGACCAAAATGAGGTCCCCTCGCCCATGCACCAGTCATGAAGGATTTAGGGGTTGCGATTCCCAAGTGATCCTCCTGCTTCCAGCGCCTTTTGGCCTCATCGGGTAATGCATTCATGATGGCCTCGATCTGCATCCACGCAACACTGCCCTGCTCAAAACAACTGCGCGCCATGGTCTCTGCTGCATGCTCCGTCTCAGTCGCCTTAGACAAACTCAAGATTGGCAGGCCGAAAAAGTCCGCCAGAAAACCCTTGTTCGCCGAGCTCTCGTTCTGGACCTGAGCTGTTGATGTCAACGTTCGACGAAGCTTACATGGGGGGTCCTCGTCCGCCTCAGAGTCCGAGGAGATAGCCATGATCACATCTGGTGGCACACTCGGAGCTGCAGGAACTGTAACCCTCTGGCCTTGCTCCTGCTGGGGACTGCTATGCTCGAAGAATTGATGCAGTCCGTCTCGGCGCACTCTCCATCTTGGGTCCTTGTCCGATCTGAAGAATGCGTAGAGCCCGCTCATGGAACCCTGCCCAGACCCGCTCCTGTGCTGCTCCTGTTGCTGGCATTGAGCCAACCCCACATGGAAACATGAAGACGTCACTGTTGACAACGAGCAGTTGATGGGCATGATATGGTCACGAACTGCACTCGAGAAAATCGGCGGTCACTATCATCAATCTCAGTGCCACACCCCAGCCAGTTGACAAGTGTTGAGATGGCGCGGAAATCGTGTCCACCATACCTGAGTACATGCACAAGTTATGTATGCACGCTCGCGGTTGGTATGCACCAGTAGCTGCAGTAGGATCACAACAAGCACGTTCTGTATCTGAACTGTGCCGTTTTTCTCGCTGGTGTGTCATCGCCGTTGTTGCATCTCCACGGCTGTACGAGCTAGTGAGTCTCGCCGAAGATAAGCAAAATGAGATGCACTGAGAGGCCATTTACACGAGGCTGCGCTGCCCCCGAAACTGCATTGTCCTTGTCCGCAATGCCACAAAAGTGGTGCTTTAGGCATTTTCCCATGCCTCTGCACAAACCCATTTCTTGGCGTCGCACCGACAGTGCCAAGCACGCCATTGGCTCGGTCTTCCCACACCCGGTTACTTCTCGAGGGAGTTTAACAGGCGGCTGATCTGGTTGGCCAGCTGACTGCGAGAGCTACGCTCCCTTTTCACCTCGATTCCACAGACCATCGTGGAGCCACAGTGGCACAGCTGATTCATGTCCGCATAGAGCTGCAATCCATTGTCATTTTGCAGCGAGAACTGCAGCAAGAACGCCACAGTGCCCTCCTGCATCTGCTCCGTGATCGGCCTGGTGGGATGGAATCTAAGCAGAGCCTCCACCGTGTTGCATCGAGTCAGCATCGACTGTAAAATCGTCATAACATCCTCGTACGAAATCACGGAGGACTCCTCGTCCTTGACATTCTTCTTCAACTTGGAATCCCAGCGGAGGCGCTGGAAGTCCTCGCCCTTCAGCCACCCCAGCCTTTCCATTGATCCCCGGCGCTCGGTGTCGCCCCGAAGCAGCTGCAATCTGTCAAACATCTCCTTCAAGAGGCAGCTGAACAGCATGTTCCTCATGGGTCGTTTGACCTTCTCCGGCTGTTCCTCCTTGAGCTTCTGCCGTTCGGTTTTCGCAGCAAACAAGGATGGCACAAGACTGCCCGGAATGCCAGTGCGAACGAACAGCACGAACGAGCTTTCAGCCCTCCACATGTTAATGGAGTCCTCATGCCTCAAGCGTAGCCTGGCCAGCTGTCCAACCAAAGTCTTGAGCATGGCGATGGCTTCATCCTCATCGTCCTTTTTCCAGTTGCTCCAGCGTCCGGAGCCCCAGCTGTTTTGGTTTCGCGAGCGCTGATATCCACCCTGCTGCCCATAGCCCTTGGAGCCCTGGCCATTTGATTGCCTGCCCCGGGAACCCTGGCTGGAACCAGGATTGTTCTCCGCTTCCTTTTCATCCGTCATCTTGGCATCGGGTCCCTTCGAATCCCCTTTGCCTTCCGGCTTGTGGAACTTGGCAGAGCGATCCACCTCGAGGGCCAAAGATTCCGCGGTCTGCGGTGCCGCTTGCTTGAAGGCCGCCCAGATGCGTAGCTCCTCCTCCTGTTCCATGGGAACCTCGAGCTCCGCTGTCATTGCCGCCTGCTAGTTCGAAGAGGAAGCGCCTGGTGGGGACTTTCGTTTGAGCCACACTGTGTATATTGCCCTTCTCAAGGAGGAGTCAACTTCGCATGGTGCAGCGGGAACCCCATCATCTGTTATCCACCAATCTTCTTGCTCTCTCAGCACCGCGCGATAATGCCCGGAGTTTGGAGAGTCCCCGAAGTGCAGCAGACCTGCCACCACTATGTACGGTACCCACTCACAGTCAATCCCTGTCGTGAAAACCGGCACATTCACTTCCTGCGCAAAGCGGACCTGGATCATCGACTTTCCACGATGAGGAAACCTGCCCAGCTGTACGATAAAGCAGCCTGTCTCTATCACGATCGCATGTGTGTGTGCCTGATACGACCATGCACTGACCAGCTCTTGAAGGTCACCGTCGCCATGGGGCAGGTCCAAGTACAGCATGCCTGTTCCTGCGTCCATCACTTGGTGGACTCCCCTTCCCATCACCCTAGATTCCCACGACATGTGTCCGAAGCCTACCTTGTTGAGTAGGAAGCCCGTGAACTCTGCAGCGTCCTTCTGCCTGTTTTCCAGTGTCCATCCTCTGAAAAGTGCTCTAAGCCCGAAATGCGTTGCAAGGTTGAGGCCATTGCCCTGTTGCCCATCGATGGCGGCATCTCGGAGCTGTCGTAGTCCCCGAGGGAGGTCCGTGTCCTTCAATGCATGCACTAACGCCAAGATCCCAGCATTCATATAGCACAGGTTATGTGGATTGTGTAGCCTGACTGATCGAGTTCCGGCCACCGCAGAGCCGTTTGACCTGCCGGGGCCAATGGAGCTGCTCGCTCCTGGTGCATCCCCCTGCGCCATGTTGACCAAGAGCTCTGAGGACGGATCCGAGGTAGGAGGGGTCGCCGGCTTGGTCGTGGTAGCCTCGCTCGGCGCAGATTTGGATGCATGCCCACATAGCATCGCCTTAATGCCTATGCGTTCCACCTTCATGTACTGCTTCTCCTTCTCGTGTTGTTTGAGAGCTGGTCCCCGCCTGGAGTGCAGATGAAGATCAAGAGTGCCCTCCGAGTAGAGTTTGCGAACAGCCAAGACCTGAAAGAGGGAGGAACATTTCGTAGCATGATGAGTGGCATCTGTATTCCCATTCTTGGCATTGCTCCCACAAAACTGGCATGGCCTGCAGAAGATTGCCCTTAAGCTTCGTGCCCCTGAGATAGCGTCCTGATGAGCGCAAGCCCAGGCTTCCTTGTGTGTGGTTTGCCAGTGTATTTTCATGTGCCCCGAGACCTTCACCATCTGCGCGCAAAGAATGCACTTGGTCTGGTACTTGGCAATGTCTTTGGCCTGAGTCGACAATTGAGCCAGCGTGCACGTCAGTAGTAGCGGAGCAATGTTCCCTGGTGTGGCCTCCAGTGTTCTCGACCCCGTGGGAGGCCGCGGTGGTGCCTTCTGTTCTTCTTGTAGCGCCTGTTGCATAACATGCTCCACGTCCTTACCCTCCGCAGCCGCCTGTTTCAGCCTTGGACACCGGCCTTCCGTGATGTGCCGCTCCATTGATACCCAATCATACATGGTCTGCCTGCACAGCCTACACTGGGGCAATCCGAACAGCGTGTGCAATCGACGATCAAACGAGGTCCTGGCATGCTGGTGTACGAACTCATGTTTCACCGTGTAATGTGCCTCCAAACTCTTCTGATTGTGAAATTCCACTCCACATACAGGACATGTTACTGCCTCCTCCGTGCGGTCCACCTCAGTGACTCCAGATGTAGGTAAAGCTTCAACTCGAGTGAGTTCCTGAGCAATGAAGCTGGCACGATGCAAAGCTGGGGCACTAAGATCAGTAGATTGATGTCCCTCAGTTTTCAGCGTGTGTATCTTGCCTTGTAGTAGTTGATGCAATAGCTCGGCAGGGGCAAGATCCGCACGTCGTAAAACCTCATGGTTGGGGATGCCGTGCTCGTGGACCCTCAATATTTTCCTCAACATCCGAGAGAAAATCGACTGTATCAACCTCAGGCTAGCCGCCGTGATGCCAACCCCGATGATGCCATGTAGAAGCGCTGGGACTATGCACGCTCGAAACACCCGCAGCCTCTGCTTGGTACTGAAAGAGGATGCCGTTCTGAGTAGTGGCCTGAGTTTGGTGTAATTCGCCCATGCTTTTGTTGCTCTGAACTGCAGGGTCTGCATCTCCATCGCTCCATAAGACAGAGTGGCCCCTAGATAGTCCATTTTATCATGAATCGGCAACCTGACTTCACGACCCATGCATTCATCCGTTCCCAGAACAAACACATACCTGTTCCTGTCCCACTTGACAAACCTCTGCTTAATCCCTGTCGCGGCGCTTCCACGTAGTAGAAGGACAGCCATGGACTTGTCAAAGTTGACCTTCATGCCCGAACGGTGCAATGCCGCAATGGGTTTGAGGGCTCGAGCTCTTGCTTCATGAAATTCTTGACACGTTCGTATGATCCAATGGCCATGTACATCATCTGCAAATAGACTGGTATGTTCTCTACACCACTCGGTGCCCAGCAGTCTGCATAGCTTGATGGTCCACGCCGTGAAGACGCTCGGAGCAAGTGGACACCCCTGACGAAGTCCGCGCTTCATCTTAACTTTCTCAGAGTGACCACAATGGCGCACGATGCATACAGATTGTCTGTGTGTCTCCACTATGAGTCTGGACAGTGCATCTGAGACTCCAACCTCCCTCAAGCTCTCATACATCACTCCAAAAGGCATGCAATCAAAGGCTTTGGCCAAATCCAAGCTAATCATCAATCCCCCCTGAAGTTCAGGAAGAGCCCCGGTAAGCAGTCGAGTGGTAACATCTGTGTTGACCTGGCCTGCCAGAGCGCGCACCTGTATGCAATGGAGACTGCCCCTGAGCAGGGCATCCGTTGTACTAGCCATCTTTCGGTACGCAAATTGCGGAATATCCCATAGGCCCTGCATGATTTCAGCCTGCACCGCCTCTTTTAAGACAGTCATGAACATCTTGGTATCACCCGCCATGAGTCCCACGGTCCTCAAGTTGGAGGGCTTGCTGGGACACTTTCCCGGCTTCGCCAACCAGGCTAGCTGCACCTCCGTCCATTCTCCAGGAATTTGAGGTTCATCACTGCATAAATGATGTACTGCTTGTGCATGGAGTATAGGGACAATGAGTTTGCTGTGCTGTTTCCAGTTACGAAGTGGAGGGGTAGCATTCGGGGCTGCCTTCTCCGCCTTGAGCTTCGAGGCTGCCTGATGCCATTTTCGAATGTCAAGTATCTCCTCTGGGATGCGTAGCAGCGGAAGCCTGGGACTATTTGAAGCCATGAAAAGCTCCCGGGCATAAGCTGCGAGGACTTTACATTCCTCCAGGCCGTTCATCAGATGCCCCTCATCATCCCGAAGTCTGATACGCTGTACTCCCTTTCTAGGGCAAAGCAAGTTGATCACTCCGAACAGACCACGCATATCATGCCTCGAGGCTGCCGTCTCTGCTTGTTGGAGCAGAGCCAATGTTCGACTCCGTTTGCGTGCTCTAAGGGCCCTCTTAAGATGCCTGTGCGCTCTCATGTAAGCAATGCGAAGCTTAAAGTACCTAAAAACAAAGACCATGCCAGCACCAAGCAACGTTTGCACATTCTGCAGCCTTCTTCGTAGTTTCCAGCACCCCTTGATCTCATCAGTCACCGGCGCAAGCTCCGGCCGAACAAGCCGTTCCGGCGCTTCTCCACCCGCGCGCGACACTGCCTCGCGAAGCTCTCTGACTCCACATGGCCGGTTCTCTGACGTCCAGGAGCCCAACTGTGGGAGATCGGGCCCTGCCTTGGGCTCCGCCCTTCCTTCTCGATGCTGCTTGGCCCATGGCGTCCATCGATGTGGGATTGAACCCACCAGGGGGAGATGACCCGTGGTTCTCCAGCCTGCCATCGCCGTCACCACAGGTTTCGCTGTTTTGGCATTCCCGTCAGATACGGCTTGCCTGGCGCACACATAGTCGATCTGACTCCTGCCCTTGGCGTGTAAGTATGTGGCAGCGGTGCCCTTCTTGGACCACGTGTTGAGCGCCGACAGCTTGTGCCGTTGGAGCAGTCGCATTAACAGATCCTGGTCCGCCTTCTCTTTCTCCGACAACTCCTTCTGCAGCAAACCGTAACCAGCGATTCTGCTCATCGGGGTCAGGGTGACATTGAAGTCCCCTCCTAGGATCAGTTGCGATCTGACCGGCAGCGATGCCAGTAGCTTATCAATCTTAGCCAAAAGCCGTCTCCTCTGATCCAGGATGGTCTCGGACATCCCAGCTTTTTGCAGAAAAGCAAACTGATAGACCCCCACGATATCGACCTGTTGCTTGTCAAGAAAGCATCTGACCTGCAGAATTCTGCCCGGCTCCGCTTCATGCCATCGGATCTGCTGTGCATTGGCAAGCACCTTTCGTATCCCGATTAAAATTCCTCCACTTCCCTTGCGCTGTGATGTCGTGTGGCAAAAATGCCACTCCTGGGTGGACCAATCTCCGCTAAAATCCCAGTGTGTCTCTTGCAAGATGATGATATTGATGTCCTTATTCGGTGTCCTCTGCAACCACTGCTGTAATTCAGTGAAGAGAACATCTGAAAGCCCTCCCACGTTCCAGCAAAGAAAACGAATTCTGCGCCTGACCTGTGTTTGCGTCTGCTCCTCTATTACCGGAAGCAAAGGTGCATTGGACACAAGCCTGCGACCCCTATACATAGTTTCGCCCTGCAGTTGCGTACGTCTTACTGCACGCTTGTATGATCGCTTACGGATCTTGGAAAAAGAGGCTCCAGTCTGACCTGAAGCGGCTTCAATGTCCCCTCCTGTGTTCATCTCAGGAACCAAGGCCCCCGAGATTTCAGGTCCCCCGGAGGGTGAGGACCAACCCTCACGCCAGCGGCCTATACTAACCGATTGTGTCATCATGTTGCTCTCCGCTCCCGGACTTGGGACCGGGCTGAGCCGGATGAGGATCTGGGGGGTTCTCGTACTGGAATAGCCAGGCGTTGCTCATGCGATGATGGTGCTCCCGAAGAATAGTGGATACAGCTTCGATAGTTTCAGCGGGATAATTCCTAAAGGACCACGACAGGAACAGCTCAAAGCTTTCTTGAGATAAAACGATAAAACAAAAGCCGCCTCCGCAAAGAGCTCTGGTAAGCTGAGCTCACTCCACAGCTCACTCACAAGCCGCTCTGCCCAGCAAACAGTACTCGGTGGTGTGCTAAGCAGATTTCTCTCCACTTCTTCGATCAGCCACGCTCGCAGGTGTCCGGTGCTGTGTAACGACATGCCTAAAAGCCCCCGCACATGTTTGAACCGCTCATGGCGCTTTACTACTACTACTACTACTACTACTTCTACTACTTCTACTACTTCTACTACTACGACGACGACGACTACTCGTAGGGCTTGGAGTTTTGGGAAGGTCTGTGGTCCGCGTTCTTTCAGGGTTTTGTCGGTCGGGGTCTTGGTTTCGAGTACTGTCGAGAGAGAGAGAGAGAGAGATATAGAAAAACAAGATAGAGAGAGCAAGGCACCTGCAAGAGCAACGCAACGCCGGGTCTTTTGTGACCTTCAGCAGGAATTTGCTTGTGTTGTTCACTTTTTTCCTAGGTCCCGCCTCCCTGTATCTTGAAAAGCATCCCGAACATTCAACGGACCTTTGAAGCCCACATTTGCCGAGGCTTTCCGGATTGATTGGTTTGGTTTCGCGTGTCCTTCTTGCTTGAGCTTCTCGGCTGGCCAAATCACGGCTTGAGGTTTCATAAGGGCTTCACCAGGGTTTTTGCACCGTTTCCGAAAATCCGAAGGCCTAGAACCACCAAAAGCTCCTGAAGCCCCTGAAGCCCCTTAACCACTTTGTTTCTACCTAGCTCTGGCCTCCGAGACAACCGCAGATATCGGAAGTCACTGTCCCGGTTGCCATCATCATCGGTATTCTCGTTCTAGGGTTTAGGTTTAGGGTTTAGGATTTGCTACCCTGATGTTTTTCACCCTCAGCGCTGGCCCGTGTCCTTGTGGTTTGGCCAGTAGCTAGCTGGCTGTTATCATAGGGGCCGAGGGACGGCAAGGTGGAATCACTCGGTAATTCTACTAAGCATGACATCAGTAAATAGGAACAACAGTGCTAGTCGTAATGATCATGTTGCGACTCGCAGGAACCACCAGACGAACACGAGCAACAGTTGATATGTCTGTAACAGTGTAACATAGCAGAAATAGTAATGGTATTCACTGGTACCGGTATTGGGCATGGTAGCACAAGCAATAACATTGTTAATATCAGTGGTAATGAGAACAATCACAGTGGCATTGATAGTGTTTGCAACAATAGGAACCTAAAGCTAAACTGCAAACAGAGAAAGCGTCGGAGAGCCTAAACTAACTGCCACTAGCAATGGAACTGTAATAGTCGTAACAACCATGGCCCTAAGCAAAAACACGACACATGACAGCAGGGGTTGGCGGGTCCGGAGGTGGGGGCTAAACCCTAAACCCCTAAACCCCTAAACCCCTTAACCCTAAACCCTCAACCGGAATCGAATTTCGGTGTTCTCAGAGGTGTCTATGTCCCTGCTCAGGATCCCTGCACGGCTGTTTCTGGAAGGGTTGTGGGGTGTTGATGCGAGGTTCGGGGACCACCGTGTTCCGTAGGGTTTTGGCGATGCTTTTTGGGCCTGGTATGACAGATGTTGCGGTGTTGTAGGATTGACATCGGGGTCGTGTTCGTTTCCGCTGTCGGGTTGAGCGGTTTAGCGATCTTGGCTCTGCATCGCAGGCCCTGAAAAGCCCCAGAACGTAAGGTCCCATGGAGTTACTTTCCATGCCTGGTCCGGCGTGAGAGCGGTTCGACGCACGCTCCTTAGAGTGGGACTGGGGAGGACAGCAGGATCCGAGGTGAGGACTTGATCGCTAGGCACACAGACGTCTGATCGTGGTAAGGAATCCGAACCTTGTTAGGTCCACAGTGCTTTGCAGGCTAGCTCCGGGAAAGACCTGACCGTGCAAGGATGCAAGCCCTGGATTGTCCGAACTCCTGAATTTCCATCTTACCATCCCCATTCCGACGGTCACCATCACACTTACACTCAGCCTATCATCGCCCAACCATCAAACTCTCAACATCAACGTCACCGCCGCACCACCACCCCCATCATCCTCGTCATCATGATTCTTCATGGTTCCGTCGTGTTGTGACTGTTGCTGCTGCGACTGCTGTGGCTGCTGCGGCTGCTGCTGCTGCTGCTCCAGTGGACGACGGCTGCTGTACAGCAGCTCCTACAGCTGCAACGGCAGCAGCAACAACAACGACAGCAACAACAACAACAACAACAACCAACAGCCAACAACCAACAACCAACAACCAACAGCCAACAACCAACGACCAACAACCAACAACCAACAACCAACAACAGCAACAACAACAACAACAACAAGAAGAGCAGCGACAAGAGCAACAACCGCAACTGCTGCCACCACCGCTACCAGCAGTCGTGCCAGTGCAGCTGTCGATTTTCCGCTTCCGAGGCAGCCCCGCAAAGCTTCGAGAAGCAGCAGGCGGCATGCGCATAAGCTTGTGCCCCACATCCATCGAGGAGGTCTTATGGGACACTGCGCGATGCAGTATCTTAATTTTGCAGGGTTCTGATGTATCACAAGTAAAACGGCTTGGTACCGTAGTTAGCAGATTTGTGGGAAGTTCCATGTGGGTTGCTCCAAACTGAATTCCCTTTAAGGTGCCCAACAGGCAGCGTTCCTTTCTCCCGATATTTTCAGGTCAGGGATCCTTCTGTCCAGGTCTTGCATGAATTTTGGAGCTGCCAGGGTCCAAGTCGCATGAAGTACCTGGCGCTCACATGCTTGGTGAATCGGGCTCCTGCCGCAGTGCCATGCGTATCTTGGGGTGTCTTCGGGCAGGAGATCTTTCTCTGACCCGAGTCCCGTGGTTCGCTTTGGGGTTTGAAATCGCTCGAAGCTATGGCAGGGCCACGACTTCCCAAGTCGTTTTCTCGCGACAGTCCCATGCCTCTCCACCTCGCGGAACGCGGTGCTCCCGACAGAGTGCCGTGTGCTCTCTGCCCAAAGCGTGCTCCTGCTCCGGGAGTCCTCCCCTGAAAAAGAAAGAAATATAGAAACAAATGAGTGAATATACATTTATACAGTAAATAGCACACACATATGTAAATAAATAAATGAATAAATATAAATATAAATATAAATAAATAAATATATATATATGTAAGTTATGTATCTGCATGTATGTAAGTATGCTAAGACATCTGAAGCTACGGATGATTGTAGCTTTTCGTTTCTCTCGCAATGGCCTCCGTCTGCGTACACCCGAAGCCTTATTCTGACTGTCCGGGGATCTGTCCTCAACTCGCCCTGTTGCAGGTCGTCCGAACGAGTTCGGACAATTTGGTATCCATTGGCTGTTCTTGGGGCCTGACAAGTTGGTAAGACTATCCGCTGAATGCGTTAATTGTCATGATTCTGTTTATCGCATCGTCTGAACAATCGGTATACATGTTCAGGCCCCTTCTTTGTAAGCGTTCTCCAAAGATGAGTTGCCAGTTGCCGTTTGAAAGGCGCTTGGTATCAACGGTGCGCCGGGTCCGTGGGTTCAGGGTTTCCCGCGCCCTAAACCTTCGAAACTGAGCGAAATGGCCAGTGCGTGGGGCATGTGTAAACAAGAGGCTCCAGGTTTCGTGGCTGAATAATTAGAAGCGAGCTCTTGGGGTTTTCTAGCTACCTACTGCTACTGCTGCTACTACTGCTACGGCTAAGGCTACTGCTACTGCTGCTGCTGCTGCTGCTACTACTACTACTACTACCACTACTACTACCACCACTACCTATTACTACTACCTACTACTACTACTACTGCTGCTGCTGCTGCTGCTGCTGCTGCTACTACTGGCCCCGCTAGTATCACAGCAGGAACCTGGGAGTTCTAGCATCGAGGGGACCCACTTTACTTTAGACCCTGAGTAGTGCAATCCTGTGCGGGATTCTGACATAGACTCTCCATAGTAACGTCCTGTAAGGAGGGGGCAGGCCTGATATAGACCCTAAACGGTAGAATCCTGAGTATAAGTGACGCCCAAAAGGTGTTTGTCGGAAGGACCTATCTGAATTAGCTCTGGTTCAAGGCTTTGGGTTTAGCCCTGGGTAGATTTTGCGGCTTTGGCTGGGTCAGGCCACGGCTGTGATGAAAGGAGCCGGCTCAGAATCATGACCCTTGTAGAACCCTCATAGGGTCCTGAAGCAAGCCATTCTTTACCCTCGAAGAACCCTGAACCCGAAACCCTGATGAGTCGAACGATCCGGCAGCGCGGGTTAACTTTGATGGAGGTTTCGGAGGTTCGTCCTCCAAGCGCTGAGCCCTCAGCCAGAAACGCATTCGATTGATCAGGGGGATTACCATGGCAAGGACGGGCAGAGTATTCCCTTTAGCATCAGTCTCGGTACTCATCAGGTATATGGGCTAATTCAGTCTGGCTTGAATGTATTGGGGTTACAGTTAAGGATAGGGGTGGGTGGAGCACCCTGCCTTCTCACCCGACGGATTGCTGTTTCATATCTAAGCCTCTGCCTTAGT